CCCCAGGAGGCTCCGAGGAGGGGTCTGGGGCTCGATTTTGGGAGGATGTCTCAGGCGAAACCGCCATTCTCTGAGAATCGGGGTCAAAATTATTGAAATTACCATGTGTTTTTGAAGGTTTTACCGATTTTCAGATTTTCGAGGATGTCCCGAGCGAAACCGCCAGAAAAATCGCGGACGACGTGCGCATTAATCGCCTCTGAGCTCTACTCCCTCGGAGAGGTGCGTATGATAATCTATATATATATATATATATATATATATATATATGTATATCCTCGTCCTACGTATTGGTAACGTTATTAGCCGCACTCGGCGGAGCGAGGGGTCCTTGAAAAAGGGTCCTTTCGTGGGGGGGGTCCTACTCAGTAGGGAGCCCCGCGAAGGAGCCCTAGCACGGAGCATTGCCAACAGTCCTAGCAGGGAATCCCAGACAAGAGGCCACGAAGAAAGTCGGCCTAAGAGTCTTCGCGTAGGGGGTCACGCTGGTAGTCCTGGTAGGGAGTCCTCCTAGGAGTGCTAGTCGGGAGTATGGCCAAGAGCTGTTGTAAGGGTCTCGCTCAGAGTTCTGGCAGGGAGGACAAACTTTCAGGAACAGGTCCTAGCAAGAGCCTTGGTAAGAGTCCGTGCTGGAGACCCCTCAGGAGCCCGAAACTATTTGTTCGTTGTTTGTTTCTCTCTCTCTCTCTCTCTGTCTCCCTGTTTCTACCTTCGTGTGGAAAGAGACCGTGGAAACACTGCGGGAACCAGAGAACAGGCAAGATCACAGAACCTAGAAGACAGGAAAGAGTGCACATGGCAGCAGCGCGAGCGGCCCTTCCCTCGCGCCTAGCGGCGGAGGCAGATGTAGTTGCCAACATCCTTTGCCGTGGAGACCTCGCGCGCGCTTGCGCGCAAGAGGAGGCCGGCCCTGCAGGCGAAGGACAAGAGGAACGACCATATAACAACTGCTGCAGCAGCGCGTGCCACCAGGCCGGCGGCATCGGCAACAAGACTTCCACAACTGACAGCAACGACATGGCTATCAAGCAATCAAACAATCAGGCAAAAGCGCGCACGCGACACACTGGACGTCATCAAGTAAGCCAACAGCCAACCAGCAGCAGCCGCCATAGAAGTCCACCAGACCCCCTTGCGTGGACCATCAGGCTGCGAGGCGTGAGTTTCAGCAACTGTCCAGCTTAGCCCTTTCGAGCGCACTGTGGCACCCTGCAACATCTTGATACCCTGAAGACCATTGCAACTTGGTTGCAGGTCCTGAAGGTTACAGAACTCATGTACCGGCTTCTCGGGAGGCGAGATGACAAGCCGCTGAGGACGCGCGCGACCCCCCTCGGCCCGAACGTCGCCTGTAACCACCTCCGGACTACGTGTCCACATCTCCTGAACTTTTTGCTCATCGAAAAAACAAAGACCCGCGCCCCCGAGGCCACGACACCTCATGAGAAAACAATGGTCCTGCGCCTGCGATGGGGCGACCGCTGTGGATCTTCGCCTTCGGGGCATCGGATTCCACTGCAGAAACGCTGGTCCTTTGCCTTCGAGGACACGATCCCGCGTAAAACGAATGGCCCGGGCCTTAGAGACCCTTAATTCTCTGTAACAAAATAAGGGCCCCGTGCCTTCAAAGACACGGTCCATAGGAAAAGCCATGAGGCCCGTGTGGTCGAGGTCACGGCCCTCGTTGCTTTGTTTGTTCAGCAGACCCGCGCCTTCAAGGCCACGAGCCCGAGCAAAAAACAATGGTCTGCGGCAACTTCTGGGGCCTACAATACCTTCTTGTTGGCTCTGTTGCGAATCGACCCCAATCTGCGCGAATCGACGCTAATCGACGCTAGATCGACGCTAGTCGACACTGGTCGACGCCAGTCGTCGCTAGCCGTCGCCAATCGACGCAACTGCATCGACTATCGCCGACGCCAGTGCACCCTACAGGCGGAGATCTACGAGAGGACACGAGGCTCCGTTGATTCGTCACCGAAGCCGTGGATCCCCGCCGCCAGCGTGGGTGCACCGCAGAGGGAGGACACGAGCGGCAGCAGGGGCGGGAGCGGAAGCGGCAAGCTCGGGAGGTCGCGGCGGCCCCCCTGGTCTCTTAGGAGACCGATTTCTGACCACACCCACTTCCCGAGGTGCCTTGCGAAAAGCGGTTTCCAGAGGTGGAGGTGGGCAGCTTCCCCGCCCCAGGGGGAGGAAAACTACCCACTTCCACCCCCGAGGGCCTATCATAGAATCGAGGATCCAGCGGTGGATGTGGTCAGAAATCGGTCTTCGGTCTCTGCCGCGGGGGCATGGGACAGGGCCCACGGCGGCCGAGAGGGGCCGGTCGACTCGCAGCGGGCTGCCACTCGAGCCGTGGAGAGGTTCCTGTTGGCAGCCGCAGCCGCGGAGAGCCACGGGTGGGCGGCCTGCGCCGACCAAGGCGGCGGTCGCCCCCGATCTCTCGGGACGGAGGCCAGTGCAAAGCTCGGGCCACTGAAGGGGCCCCAGGACACACAGATAGATACACACAAATCAAAGGATTCCCCATCTTTTCATATATTTTCTGGGTTTCTGTCTTCCCCCCACTTCCCATATTTTCCCATCTTTTCCTGGGAGTCGACGATTAAGTGTGTCTGTGTGTTTCTTTCCCTCCTGAGCCACGCCTCCCTCCGACGCGGCCGCGGAGGCACAAAGGAAGGGGGAGCCCCGCTCAGATGAGACTCATTCCCCCCTGGCCTGTGCCGACTGCGCGCGCACCTGCACCGAACCTGGCAAGGGCCCATCCTGGGCCTAGGACTGGGTCGGGCCTGTCCACCTACAGGGGGATTTTGGACGAAAAATCAAAGCAGATTCGAAGAATACTAAAGATGCCCCAAAATATTCAAAACATAGACCCCAGACTATTTTTTGACTATTTTTGAATCTTCCCCCTGTAGAGGGACAGGCCCGACTTAAGCCTAGGATCGGTGTGTGCTGTGCGCCCTCCTGGAACAGCGCGGAAGGCACGTGCACCGATCCGGTGCCCAGAAGCGTCCTGGCTGAGATTGGCGCAGGCGCACAGTTGACGCCCCCGGAAGATCAGCATGAGCAGGAGATCGGTTGGCGGCGAGCGAAGGGGGAAGTGAAAAGAAGAAGGCATTCTCAGAAGGCGGCGAGACTTCTCAGAAGTCCTCGCGCCTTCTGAGAAGCTGTCTGCGTCTTCAGGGAAGGCTTCAGAAACTTCTCGGAAGGCCGGGGGACTTCCGAGCCTTCTGAGAAGGCCCGCCCCTTCTCACGTCCCCCCCTCTCTGGCCGCAGACACGAGGCAGGAGCAAGAGCTGGCGGCGCGCAAAGGGGGGTAGGGGGAGGGAGAAGGCTTCTTAGAAGCACCCTGCTTCTTCGAAGGCCCTGGCCTTACGTCTATAGAGAAGGCCTGCGCCTTCCAAGAAGCAGGGTTGCTTCCAAGAAGCCTTCCCCCCTCCTCCTACCCCCCTCTGCGCGTGGCCGAAGGAGGGGTGCTTTTTGACCTGCCGGGGCCACGAAACATCTGAGACTTCACGGCAGCGAGCTCCACACAACTCGGCCAGGGGGTGCACGAGCACGGCCGCTCGGCCTAGGTCGCGATCCGCACGGCTGGCCGTGGTGCCCGGGAGCTCCCAGCCCTCCACAGAATAGCAGCAACGACATCAGTCGGTGGCTCAAAGATGGGGTCCTGAGAGATGTGGTTCTAAGGACGAGGTGCGTCAGACAGTGTAAATCCACCCTTGGACCCCTTCCCATCCTTAGGACCCCATCCCTCAGGAACCCATCTTTGAACCACCGACAGCATACGGTCAGGATTGTTGTTTGCTCAGCGTGCCGCGGCGGCGGCCTCGGCGACACGCCATGTCACGCGAACTGATCGCGTGCCGCTCCGCTCCGCGGGGCGGCCGGAACGAGCGCAAGATGCCGACGCCTGGAAATCACGACGCGATTCGCGTGTCGCGCCGAAGCTTCGCGGGCCCAAACCGGCGGGGGGCAAGACGCCAAGAGCAACCTTTGGCCCGACCGTAGCCTTCCGGAGGTCCGCGCGGACTTCTCGGGAACGGCGCTGGCATTCCCCAGGCGCGCGGATCGCGTTGGGGGTGTCACTGGAGGTGCCGCCAGGGGGGTTCCAGCGATCACCACAGAGAGTCGGCGTGGACCTCTAAAAACTTCTGCTGATTACCAGCCTCGGCCGCACCCCTACGCCTGAGACTGACAACCCAGAGCCGATGACAGTATCAGGGATGTGCCGTCAGAAACGGGGACAAATCCTTGTGAGATCGACGTCGAGGTGATGCCAACCTCAGGGATAAGGATCTGCTCTAGGCTGGTAAAGCAAGTTCGTGTCGTGACGACCCCAACTTAGGCGCCCGAGTTATCCGGGGTAACTCGGGCCCGGGGCAACTCGGGTTCGGATTCCCGAAAAACGAACCCGAGTTAGCCCTGACCCGAGTCACCCCTGATGATTTGGGGCTCTGGACGCCCGAGTTATCCGGGGTAACTCGGGCCCGGGGCAACTCGGGTTCGGATTCCCGAAGAAGGAACCCGAGTTAGCCCTGACCCGAGTCACCCCTGATGATTCGGGTCTCTGACCAACGCTGGTTTCTCACGCCGCGTAGATCCCTCAACCTTGACGGATAGGCAGCTTTCCGATCGCCATATCGCCCGCGTTGGCCGACTCCGAGCCACCGGCGGCGCTCAGCCTTGACACGCCAATGGAAGGGTCGCCTCCGCGTCGACACGACACGAACGTGCCGCCGTAATGCGGGATGACGATTAATAAAAGAAATGGGAAGAACGATTTAAAACATAGTCTTCTGCTATTTCTGCACAAGTTTCTGATTGGAGGAGAACGGTTTAAGAAATAGTTTTCCAACCCGCGGCCGGTTTGTTCTAATCGTCATCCCGGGCGCCGCCGCGTGAACACGACCCCCGGTCATTTATTAATCGTCATCCTCCATTAAATGCATGCCGCATCTTGCCATCCGGTGCTCTCGGAAGCGGTGCGAGGACCCTCAAGACAAGCATCGAGACGAGGTCGGCACCACTCTCTGGGGCAGGGATCTGCTGCAGGCCGGTCTTCTCGTGCCGCACCTTGCCCTCCTGAGAGGAGCAAACACTCGCCATCGCTCGGACGTCCATTCCCTGTGTGTTTTTCTCGGTTCCGTGCGTGGCTTGTTCGCCAAAGGATCAGGGATGCTCATCGATGGCCCTCGCCGACGGAAAAAGCCACACGTCCGAGCGATGCCAAGAAAGCAACAAGCTGCACAGACCTTCGGTTCTCGGAGGCTGAAAAAACGATGACAAGAAAGCAACAACTGCACAGACTCTGTGGGACAGGGATATGCTGCAGGCCGGTCTTTTCGTGCCGCACCTTGCCCTCCTAAGGAGGAGCAAGAACTCGCCATCGCTCGGACGTCCATTCCCCGTGTGTTTTTCTCGGTTGCGTGCGTGTTTTTTTTCGCCACAGGCTCAAGGATGCTCCTCGATATGGCCCTCGCCGACGGAAAAAGGCACACGTCCGAGCGATGCCAAGAAAAGGGTCCCCTCTTGGGGGGGCCCTACTAAGTAGGGAGCCCTGCGAAGGAGCCCTGGCACGGAGCACTGCCAGCAGCCCTGGCAGGGACCCCCCCAGAAGGCCCAGCAGCTGCACAGACACCTCTGCTCCTCGGAGGCCCGCCCCCGGACTGATCCCTTGCCTCGGCCCTCCTCCCTCCTCCCTCCTCCCCCCTCCCTCCTCCCTCCTCCCTCCCCCCTCCCCTCCCCCCTCCCTCCTCCCTCCTCCCTCCTCCCTCCTCCCTCCTCCCCCCTCCCTCCTCCCTCCTCCCTCCTCCCTCCTCCCTCCTCCCTCCTCCCTCCCCCTCCCCTCCTTCCTCCCTCCTCCCTCCTCCCTCCCCCGTCATCCCTCCTCCCTCCTCCCTCCTCCCTCCGCCGTCCTCCCTCCTTGGCCCGCCCTGCCCGGAGAGCGCGGAGCGTGCGCCAAAGGGGGCGGCGCCGCAGGCGCCGCCACCGGGGGGGCCCCGGGGCCGATCCGGGGAAAGTCGGCGCGGAGAGCTCTGCGGGCTCGACGAGAAGTTGAGCGACGATTGGAGCTCTGCACGATTGGAAATCCAGGAGATCCAGGCTTACGCCATGTGAGCGACGATCGAGAAGAACGGGCCTCTTTCGCGAGGTCGCGTAAGGACCTCACGCCGCGGCTGCCGCGGGCCGCCCGCGCGGCGCGCCACATGGGAGAGGCGAGGGCGACTCCGCGCGAACAGACACGGGCAGCTGGCGCGCCGATGTCGGCGCAGACAACCCCGTGTGTATGCGTCGCTCATACAAGAAAACATTTTTAAAAAACGCCATATACATAAACCGTTGGAGCTCCGCGCGGATTTCTTGGATCCGCGCTGGCCCCTCCCCCCCCCCCCGCGGCGCCTGCGCCGCCCCTGGCGCGCTCCCAGCGCAGATCCAAGACACCCACGCGGAGCGCCAAAAGTTATATTTATGGCGTTTTTTCCTTCTTCGACATTAGTTTTTCAGGACGGTGTCCCAGAAGTCCCGACCCTTTACCCGGGACCGGTCTTTCGTCCCGAGTCGTTTTTTGCCGGCCCCGAGGCCCGGCGAGGGCCCCAATGGGGGCCGAAAACTGCGAAAACCCTCCCGCCCAGATTTTTTTTGTTCTTCTGGTTGCACGACGCGAGTCTGTCTGGGATTCGTCCTTCTCCCCTTCCTTGCTCCTCGGTGCCCTCGGGGCCGCAGGCGCTACGCGGCGGATGCCGCCGCGCCGCCGCCCGGGTCGCGGGGGCGCAGCAGCCGCTGGTGTTAGGTCGGGCACGTCCCCCTGCAGACGTACAACATGTTTCCCACAAAAGGACGAAAAAAACACTCCCTGACTATTAGTTGACGATTGCTCAGATTTCCCCCTGAAGGGAACGTGCCCGACCTAACGCTGGTAGGCCGGCGGCGGCTCGGGGCGGCCGCCCAGCACGCCGCGCAGAGGGTCCTCGCGGAGGTCGCGGAGGGCGCGCGCCCAGCAAGCCCGGAAGCGCCGCCCGGCCTCGGCAGGATAGCGCACCTCGTCCACGTACATGTTGACCGTCCTCCCGCGCGGCGAGCGCACCGAACAACAAAACGACCAAACCAAAAACGACGGAAGACAGAACAAAACATAAAAAGCCAGGAGCAAGATAGTTACCATAACTGATAACATAAACAAAGAGAGGGATATACAGAGAGAGACGTAACAAAAACAACAAACACGGACACATAGACCAGATTGGATCTGAACAAGATCGTCTTTTCCGGCTTGTTCGGATTCTCATGGCATCCATCGGCCGACCCCTGTCCCCCCTGGCGCGGCCTTGGTCCCGCTGGCCGATGTCACCCCCCATAGATGGGGGGATAGAGGCTGCTCCTTGCAGACTGCGCAGGGTCTACATACCCAACTGGGCGGGTGGGATGGTTGGGCTGAGGTACCACGGCCCAGTGGGGCTGGGGATCGGTCCAACGATACTGACGTACGCATCCGCATCCATGCCCCGACGCAGCCTGGGCGCCGAAGCGCGGTCCCTTGGACACGCGGCTTTCATCGGTGGGCTCCGCGCGGGGCACACGCGCAGAGCCGCCCCGATGCGCGAGGTCGCGGCCGAGGGGTCCAGTGCGCGAGGCCGCGGATGTGGGGGCTGCGACTCTAGAGGCCGCCCCAGCGGGTTCCGAGTTGATGGTGTCGGAGGACCGCGCCGCATCGCAGATGCATCGGCGACGCATCGGCGACGTCGGCGACGCACTGGCGTCGTTGGCGTCGAGAAGGGATCCGCATCGGGCCGCATCGCCGGTGCATCGTCGATTCGGAGCAGTCCTTCGACACCATCTACTCTGACCCCATCTGGGAGGCCCAGAATCGCCCGCCCGAGGAGGTCCACTGCTCCGCGTCGACCTGCTCGATCTGGAACTCCAGCGGGCGGCGCAGGCTCCTGCCCATGCCCCACTGCGATAGCGCCCCGTCTGGGCTGGCCGCCCAGCTGGTGCCCATCCACTGAGCCTTAGGCGTTGCTGAAAGGAGCAGGAGGAGGATGAGGAGGGGGAGGGGGAGGAGGAGGAGAATGAGGAGAAGGAGGAGGAGGAGGAGGAGGAGGAGGAGGAGGAGGAACAGGAGGAGGAGGAGGCGGAGGCGGGGCAGGAGGAAGAGGAAGGTCGAGTTTGTTCCCCGCCGAGAGAAACAAGGGGGGAATGAATACGGATCACGGTTACACGGGGGGCGAAGGAACGTGCTCCTTTCGTGCCCTTCTGGGGCCCCAGGGAGCCTCTCTAGGGTCCACTAGGGAGCGCGAATGGTGCACCTGTCCGCAGCCCCCCCCCATTCATAGACCCCCTTCCCGTTACGCAACGCCAGAAGGCCTGGGTGAAGGGCCCCGCCGGGGAGAAGGAGGACGGCACTATGTTGACGAGCGTGGCGATCTGCTCCAGGGCCTCGGGGCGGCGCCAGGCGCGCTCCCGCACGGAGGCGAAGACGAAGTGCACTACCCCCAAGAGCGACATCAGCTCCGAGGTGGGCACCGTGAACGTCCGGAAGTCGGTCATGAATCCCACGATGCCCGTGGCCCCAGGAGGGCTGTCCCGGCCGTGGTGCACGAGGGTGAGCTTGACGCGCGGCTCCCCGCCGAGGCGCGCCAAGGAGATCGCGAGGAGCGACAGCAGCGCCAGCTCCGCGGGGCAGCCCGGAACGTGCCGCAGGACCGCGGACATCAGCTCCCGGAGCTCCGAGGGCAGCACGTGGAATGTCTGGCAGTAGCCCGCGCACCTGCTCTCTGGGAAGTGGTGCTCCAGGAAGTCCATGCGGCGGTCCATGTACATGGCATCCGGCGAGGTGTCCCCCGCGAGGGTGTGCAGCAGGCGCTGCTCGAGGACCGCGCCGAAGTGGGGCAGACGACAGGAGAGGAAGCAGCTGCATAAACATGCTCTTTCGGGGGTCGTCCCGTGCTTCTTGGATCGGTGCTCGGGGGAGCCGCCATGGGGGCCCAACGCCAGTCCAAGAAACCCGTGCGGACCTCCGAGAGTTCATGGCTGTGCCGTGCTCTCCTCCTCGAGATGGGGCAGACGGATGGGCCTGTGCCCGCCACTGGCGCCGCGGCTCCTGGCAGCGGCCAACTCGTCCTCGTACAGAGCGGCCAGATCCTGCACCACTGGCTCCACTGCCGTGCCGTCCGCTATCGCGTGCGACAGCATGACGCACATGTGGCCCCAGGGCGCCGCGCCCTCGGCCTCGCACGCCGCCTCGGGGTGCGTGAAGAGCGCCAGCTGGAAGGGCGGGCGGAACTTCTTCTTCAGCGGCTTCGCTGTCGCCTCGAGGCTCTCCAGCGGGCACTCCATCCTTCGGGCCGGGCGAAAGGGGGGGATAGCAAAGGGGGGGGGGTTGAGAATCAGCTCACGTAGCTGATTCTCCCGGCACCCTCTGGCGCCGGAGGCGGCCCTGTGTCGAGGAATGGGCCCCTCGGTTGGGGCCGAAACCACCTGCACGCAGCAACTTTCGTGACCCCCCCTTTCCTTATCCCCCCCCCTCTTCGTCCGGCCCTCCATCCTGAGGATCGTCTCCGGCCCAGCCACGGCACCGGCGGCCGGGGGCCGCCCCGTGCGCCACCTCGGCCAGCTGACCTGCAGCGCTTCCTGCAGCAGGCGGATGGCCCTCGCCGCCGCGGGCACCGCGCGCGCCGCCGGCGGCGCGCCGGCGGCCGCGCGGAGCACCTCCAGCACCACGCCGGCCTCTCTGTAGGCGGTGTGCACGTCGGTGCGCCCGTCGTTCTGCAGCCGCAGCGCGGGGTGGCGGCCAAGCAGCCGCGCGGCGGCGGCGCCGAAGGCCTCAGGGGGCGGCGCCGAAAAAAGCCCTGCGGTGCGCGGTGCTCCTCCCCTCACCACCCTCGGAGGAGGCTTGATCTACGGGTGAAACAGACACTGTGCAAATACACTGCGCAAACAAAACACAGCGTGAATCTTGGATGTAGTCTGCTTCCGTCATGTGGGTACGTAGTGCCTTTCCGTTTTGTACTCGTGTAGTGTTTCTGCGCAGTGTAGTTACGCCATGTGCGTTCGCAGTGCATGAGCACATTGTGTTTGCGTAGTGCGCTTGCGTAGCGTATTTACGATGTGCAGTCGCGCATTGTACTTACGATGTGTACCCACGTAATCCTCATGCAATGTATTTACGTGATGTACTTACGTAATGTATCGGCATGACGCATCCCCAGAAGCACCCGAGGAGAACCGCAGGATCATCCCATAATCATCCCAGGAACACATTAAGAGCATTCCAGGAGCATCCCTAGAGCATCCCAGTATCATCGTAGGAGCGCTCGCACTGGCGCAGTGCATTTACGTAGTGCACTTGCGCAGTATCCTCAAGTCGCGCATTCGCAGGAGGGTCTCAGGAGCATCCCAGGAGCTTCCCCGGAGCATCCCCGGAGCATCCCAGGATCATTCCAGGAGCATCCCAGGAGCATCCCAGGAGCGTCCCTGGAGCGCCACGGGAGCATCCCAGGACTGTCCCAGGAGCATTCCAGGAGCATTCTGGAAGCATCCCTGGAGCATCCCAGGTGTGCTCGTATTCGCGTAGCGCATGTGCGCAGAATGTTTGCGTCGTGAATTTGCGTAGTGTATTTGCGCAGCGTAGCGCATTCGCAGGAGCGACCCAGAAGCATCCCAGGAGCAGCCTAGGAGCGCCCGGGAGCGCCCCGAGAGTGCTCCCAGGAGCATCCCAGGAGCACGTCAGGAGCATCCCAGGCGCATCTCGGGCGCATCCTGGGAGCAACCCTGGAGCATTCCAGGAGAGGTCGCACTCGCCAAGTGCATCTGCTCAATGATCTATAACCTCCTCCTCCTCCTCGTCCTCCTCCTCCTCCTCCTCCTCCTCCTCCTCCTCCTCCTCCCCCTCAGTGGATGTGTGCGGCCTTCTCACGCAGCGCATCCGCAGGAGCGACCCAGGAGCGGCCCGCGGGCGCCACAGAAGCATCCGGGGGAGCCTCCCGGGAGCACCTCAGGAGTGCCCGCAGGCGCGTCCCGGGCGCCTCCCGGGAGCATCCCAGGAGCACCCGCAGGAGCACCCGGGGAGCTTCCCAACGAGGAGCTTCCCCGGGAGCGTCACAGGAACACCCGCAGGAGCATCCGCAGAGGAGCATCCAGGAGCGCCGCGGGAGCGCCGCGGGGACGCCCCAGCAGCGCATGCTCGCGCAGTGCTTTTACGCACAGGGCAGTTGTTTAATACATGGGTTTGTTTGTTTTGTCAAAAGATTTTACTCCACGATGTTGAAAATACATGACTTTTGATACATGACTAATTGATGAATAGATTTATGCACGAACTCATCGTTGTTTTTGTATGGAACCCTGCATTTATAATACATGATCCGCACGCGGAGCATGTATACAAAAAACAGCACTGTAGGGTCAAGTTCCCCCCTCACAGAATGCTGCGCGCGTGGTACGTCGCATATGTATGTAGTGCCTTCTCCATCCCCCATTGCGATGTGCGCAATGCATTTGCGTAGTGGAATTCGGTGCTGTATGCTCGTAGTCGACTTAACCATCTAAACGCTTACTTGCAAAATCAAAAACTCAGATCTCAACATTAAGAGAACCTTTCCTCGGACGGTGGTGTGTGGCATGGGGGTGGGCGGGGAGGAGGGTGGGGAGGGGGAGGGAGACAGGGGGGGAAAGAAGTGGTGGGCAATGGGGTTACGGTGGAGTGAGGAACGGGAGTGGGTGAAGTCTGCAGGCAGTGAGGAGAGGGAAGGGGGGGGAAAAGAGGGAGAGGGAGGGAGGATGGAGGAGAGGGAGGGGGGAGGGAGGGAGGAGAGGGAGGAGAGGGGGAAGAGGGGGGGAGAGGGGGGAGAGGGAGGAGAGGGAGGAGAGGGAGGGAAGGGGGGATCACAAGGGGGGTCTGTCGCACTGGGCTTCTCGGCTCCGCCTCGAGGTCGAGAGGGTGCCTCACCCGAAAGAGCCACTGCAGGCAGTTGTTCCAGCCTGGGGCAGCCCAAAACGAGTCACGGGGCATGGACCCAGACATGATCGCGTCGGGGGAAAAAAACAGGACGGGAGGTTTATGGCGATTTTCGGCCCCGGGGGGCCCTCGCCGGGCCTCAGGACCATCAAGAAATGACTCGGGACGAAAAACCGGTCCCAAGGAACGGGTCGGGACGTCCAAGGGACGCCGTCCTGAAACAAATCAAGACGCCGCATGTCTGGGGAGAGGACTGCCACCCTCCTCGATATCTGTACCACAGATACCTCGCAGTCCTCCTCCAGGATCTCTCCAGTCCCCCTCCACGGCGAAGGGGAAGGAATTCGGAACAACGCTTTTGTGCGTTGTTCCAAAGCAGATTCAAACGTGGGGAACCAGAGTGCAAATCAAGCAACATATTGTGTACGTATCAGGTGGTCATGTAAAGGGAAGACTCCGAGAGCACGCTTCTGACCATCTTGCTCGAAGGTTCGCCCTGGGCCCCTATGGGGGGGGAGCACGGACATGCGACACCACCACGACCACTGCATTGAACCGGGGAAGGCCCTCATAGCTGTGCGGTTCCCCTCTCTCTCTCGCTCTCTCTCTCTCTCTCTCTCTCTCGGGACATCCAGTACTTCAATATTCAGCTCGGGTTGGCATCGTGGAGCTCCTCCGCTGGAGCTGTCGGTTGGGGATCGATGCGTCATCCGGGGGCTAATGTCCCATCGCTCGCTGAGGGCTTCACGACGGCTGCTGTCCCTCCACTCGCGCTGGATCGAGCACCCACGGCTTCCTCCAGATCTCCCCGGAGATCCTTTGGAATCTCCCTGCACATGGGTTCCCCTGGATGTGCCACGACGTCCCTGGATCTGCCCAGACTTCCCTGGAGGTGCCCCGCAGACTTTCGGGCCCCGTCCCTGCAGGCCGACGGGAGAGAGGAACGCCGCCACACGCCTCCTGCAGGCATCGCTGCCCCTGGCCCCCCCCCCTGTGACGAGGCGTGTTCGGCAGCCCCGGCCCGCCGAAGGTCCAGAGGCGGAACCCCGCGGCCCCGGGGTCCGGGAACCGCCGCGCGCTGGCGGAGGGCGCGCGCCGCACGGCCGCCACCAGGTCGTCGAGCGAGCGGCAGGCGGCCAGGTCCTGGAGCGACACGGAGCGCCCCAGCTCCTAGGGCGAGGGGCGGGTCGGGGTGGAATGGGCGCAGGGAGAAGGAGGGCCCCGCCTGCCCCTCCGCCTCCTCCTGCCGCTCCTCCTGCCCGCTGCTGCCCCCCACCCCCCCAGAGCCCTACCCCTCCTCCCATACCCCCCCTCTTCAAACGACTACAGCCGAAGGCCAACGACGACGACGACGATGGTGGCGGCGGCGGCTCGAGATGTCCGACGTCGTGAACCGAGGGGAGCTGCGCCTCGATTTGGGAGTTCACCTGGGACCCCCGAATGCTTCCACCATCACCCCGATGGTGGATCATCTCCCCTCGGTGGATCACCCCCGAATGCGACCACCATCGGGATCATCCTCCATCGGTGGAGGTACCCGCCGAACCCTGGCGTTGGTGCCGACCTCTAGGCCTCCAGTGGCGGCAAGGACGACGACGACGACGGCGGCGAAGACGGCGACGACGGCGACGACGGCGACGACGACGACGCCGACACCGACGCCGACGACGACGACGACGACGATGACGACAACAACGACGGCGACGAAGCTCCTGTCGTACGGCGGCCAGGAGCCGCAGGGCCCGCAGCGAGTCCAGCGGCGGCAGAGGGCGCCGAGGCGCCCACTCGCCGATGCCCGGCTCGTCCCCGTCTGCCTCGGGCGCCTGCCGCGGGCCGGGCCCCCAAGCGGCACGGCATGCGCACAGGAGCGACCCCCCACACGGCAGGTTCGCCCTCCATGGGACGCACAGAGACATACCAGTACTCTATGCCCTCTTTGGAGGCGCGCGTACATCCACCTTGTAGTAGATCATTTCCCAAGCGGTGTGGCCAGAAAGCTCCCGCCACGACGCATATACTATAAGATTTCCCGGTGCGCGCGTCGCCCCCCGGGGGGGCGACGCACACATAGCATCAGTATGTTGGGGTGCCGCCGACTCCACCTGCACCTTCCATACCTTCCGACGTTGATCAGATTGAAACAGGAGCGGAAGGCCAGGGTGGAAGGTCCAGAAGCATGAGGAGGAGGGCGTGTCCTGCCGACCCTGGCGTTGGCTCATGACACCGCGGGGCTCGTTCAACCTTGAATGATCGGCTATTTCCAAAATGTCAGATCGTTCAACATCGACCGATGGTGGTCGCTGGCGGCGTTCAGCGTTGAACGACGACGTCGGGGTCGCCGCCGCCCAGACGGGATCGCGTCGTAAGAGAATCAGGGCGGAGGGCTTTGGGCCACTCACGGCCCCCAAGGGGCCGTCGCCGGTCCTCGGGACCGTCAGGAAACGACTCGGGAGGAAAAACTGGTCCCGGGGAAGAGGTCGGGGACTTCCAAGGACGCCGTCCTGAAAAAAGCGGGATGTCGCATGTCTGGGCCATGATCTTCGCTCCCCCGCGAACGATCGCAGCTTTCCGATCGCGCAGGGCCGTTCGTCATGGGATCTACGCGGGCTACGCGCAGATTTCTTGGATCTGCGTCGACCTCCCGCCCCTGGCGCGCGGAGCGCGCCAGGGGCGGCGCCGGAGGCGCCGCCAAGGGGAGCCCCAGCGCGGATCCAAGAAACCCGCGCTGAGCGCCAAAACATTATGTTGATGTTTCTTACCTATACGATCACCCTTTGATTTCTTATTCTAACATGCGCGGGTCCAAGAAGTCCGCACGGATCCCAGAAACCAGCGCGGAGCGCCAAAAGTTTATGTCCATGCCGATGTTTCTTCTTCGAGACTCCGCAGGGTGTGGTCTGCCAAGGGCGCGGTCTGCAACCCGCGCCCTGGGAGGCAGGCCATAGGACCTCGACGGAGCCCCTCCGCCGCGCTCCGACGAGACCATCACGAGGGCAGCGCGGTGCCCCCCACACTACCCGAAGCGACGCAGACCGCGGCGCCACACCCCGGCGTAACCACGCCCTCCCCAGACGAGCGCGCTCCACTACTCGCAAAGTAACTGCTCGCAAGTGGCCTGGATCCGCCGAGGGGGGAATTGGGATCCACTACATCGAGGCAGACGTTTTTTTTTTGTTCGGACGTTTGCGAGTAGTCACGTTGCGAGCAGTGGAGCGCTCTCGGTGACTTCCCAGACCACCGACGCCACGATCATGACGCCGACACCCAGGAGGTCTCGACCCGTGCCCCTGGACTCGGCTCGGGCTGGTGGTAATGGGGAGTGATTTCCACGGGGTGTGTGTTTCACTGGGGGGGGGGGGGGCAGGGAAAAACCGCAAGGGGGTCCTCTCTGGGGCACCATGTGGGCCCTCGCTGGCTCCAACAGGGGCCCACAAGTCCCGCTCCCAGGGCGCTCCCAGGGTGTTTCAATGGGGGGGAAGGGAAAAACCCTGAGGGGGTCCTCTCTGGGGCCCCATGTGGGCCCTCGCTGGCTCCAGCAGGGGCCCCAAAGGTCCCGCTCCCAGGGCGCTCCCAGGGTGCTCACATAGGCGCTTCCAAGAAGGCAGGGGGCGGCGGTGACTCGCCGTAGGCGTCTTTGATCCGCCGCCCCCTTTTGATTTATCAAAGAAGTGCCTGGCGTGCCAGACTACATGGCTTTTGGTTTAGGTTCTTTTTCCAGAAGAACTCCCCCTGGGGCTTCGGGGCGCTCCCAGGGCGCTCCTGGGGCTCTCCCAGGGCGCTCCTATACGGCACTCCCAGGGTCGTCTCCCAGGGCGCCCCCCGGGGCGCTCCCAGGCGCGCTCCCAGCTGCGCTCCCAGAGCGCTCCACAGGTGCGCCCCCCGGGGTCGCTCCCAGGGGCGCTCCTGGAGCGCTCCCCCCGCCCGAAGGACTGGTGTTTCATCCCGAGCCGCTTGCTTGACGGTCCCGGGGCCCGCTGAGGGGGCCCCCGGGAGGCAGAAACGCGCGGTGCGCTCGCTCTTCGCCATGAGACACTCCGTGCCTCGATAAGGGGGTCCGTGTCTGTATAGTCGCCGAGAAGGGCCCCTCCCGCGTGCTGCCGGGGCCCCTCGCGAGGGCGCGCGAGCTTGGCCGAAGCGGGCCCGCCGGGCCTCGCCAGACGCCTGCCACACCAGGGCCGCGACCGCCTCCTCGCGCACGTCGGGCTCAGGGCCGCCGTCGGAGAGGGCGTCGTCCTCGGGCTTCGGGCCAACGCCGCCGCCGCCGCCGCCGCGAGTGCCGCCGCCGGTGCGGGCGCCGCCGCACGCCGTCCCGCCGCCGCCGCTGACACCGCCGCCAACGCCGCCGCTGCGGACGCGGCCCTCGATGCCGACGCTGGCGGCGGCGGAGACGGTGTCAAAGGCACCCCTTCCTTGCCTTCTACTGCACAGGCCACCCGTATCAGAAGGATGCGCGGTAAGGGGGCAAGGGCCTTGGAGGCCCATGCCTAACGTTTCCCGAACGAGGCTGGCCAGCGAAAGCCGCTGAGGATGGGCCGAGGAGGCAAGGATGCAAGGGTACCTTTGGGAAGGTTGCCCATCCTCACGATGCGGGTCAACTGTGTGTCCAAGTGGCTCGTGCGTTCCCAGGCTCGTGCAAGTCGAGCAGGGAAGGCTCTCAGGAACGTTGGGGAACTGTTCGGCAGGTGGGCCACTCGACATGATGCGTTCGTCACCAGTGTGTCTGCAAATGCTTGGCGGACCCCGATCAATTGCCCCCTTCTGAGGGGTCCGGGACAACAAGATCCAACAGCAGAGAATTGGGACACCAGAAATCAGCCGCTCCCCCAAAGCCTCCCACATGCCCCCGAAAGAGTTCTCCACGAGGCCCCTTAGCGGCATCCCAAGAGACCCTCAAATTCATCCAGGAGGCTCCTGACCCAAGATCTAACTTCCACGATCGTGTCAAACACTCACTGCTTGTGGGGGTCGGCGGGATGGCGGAAGCCACTTGAACAGAGAACTGGAGCTCCTCCTTGGGCCCAGACGTCCATCAGAGGGACCACAAGTGAGAACCAACATGATCGAGTTGGGAGGCAGGGGTTGGGAGGGTACAGGGTGCGACTCTGTCATGAGCACCGTCGACACACGCGGTAACGTGGATGATCGGATCATTTCTCACGGCCCTGTCCTCCCGACCCGACAAGTGTCTCTCTGAACACGACGGTCTCCAGAAGCCCAAATCACCCATGCCTCATGGGCTCTGAAAGCTTATCGCATCCCCGCCATTTCAAGGCTAATTTCAGGGGGGCGTAAGACCCGGGTACAGGGGACTCGGAAATCCCCGACAAGGTTGTCAAAAAAATGACGAGGCCGAGCCTGCATTTTGACGAGGCCTCCCGCTGCAGACATCCCACGAAACTCCTACTCGTCAAAATCCGAGTCGCGGTCGTCAAAAAACGATGGCGAACCCGAGTCCTGGCAAACCCGGGTCTTACGCTCCCCCGATACTTCTGATCCCCGAGACGGCCCGAGACGCCCCCCCCTGACCGGCACGAGACGGGCGAAGAGGCCCCCGGGGAGCCCACATGTGGGCGAAGAGGGCCCCAAGACTGCGCATCGGGCCCCCCCACGACTGCCAACAGAAGCTCTCCCCAAGACGGCCGGGGGAGAGGCCCGAGAGCAGGAACTCCCGAGGGCCCTGGGAATCCCCCCCTCACAAGATGGCCCCCAAGAGGCCCAGCATGTTCCACCGGTCTCCAGGAGAACCCCCCGAGACGCCGTCCGAGGGCCCCCCCAAAAAGCAGGAGGGCCCAGGATCGCATCGATACGTCGAATCTGCGATCGAAATGACTCGGATCGGCGAAAAAATCGGCAGTCAGGTCGGGAGGAGTCGAATGGGTGGAAAACGGCAGAGTAGTGGGGCCTCATGGAGACATCGAACTTCAAATCGGAGTCCGAAGTCGAATCGACTCGGAATCGGTGTATGTCGACATCGAACCGAGTCGAATCGAAGGAATCGAAACGAGCCCTGGACAAAAAGCTTCCAAGCCATCTCGCTCCCTCGCCCCTCCCCTGATGGGCCTGCTCTCCACCACCACCACCATAAGTTGGAGGGGGGAAGGAGGTGGAGGACGAGGAGGAGGAGGAGGAGGAGGAGGAGGAGGAGGAGGAGGAGGAGGAGGACCCCCTCCCCCTCCAACTGATGGTGGTGGTGGTGCAAAAAACAGGCCCACCGTCACCCCTCCCCAGCCTCGTCTCCCCGTGCGCTCGCCCCCCTCCTGGGACGAGACGCCAGCTCAGCTGAGAGCCCACGCGCCCTGGGCCGGGCCAGGAACGTCGGGTCGGGCGAAAGGGGGGGGGGGATAGCAAAGGGGGGGGCGTGCGAATCAGCTCCCGTGGCTGATTTTCCCGGCGCGCCTCCCGGCGCCGGAGGCGTCTGTGTATCGAGGAATGGGCCCCTCGGTGGGGCAGAGAATCTCGTAACCCCCCCTTGCCCAATCCCCCCCCCTTCCTCCGGCCCGAGAACGGTGCGCACACGCCAGCACGGCCTGGCCAGAGGTGTGCACCCCCACCGATCCTGGGGCACCAGGCCCGTTGCAGGCCTGATGCCCCAGAGGTCGCCCACTGCGACCCGCAGGCGTCGACCAGTCTGCGCGCGGTCTGCCACGAAGTCGTTCTAAGAACACGTCGCGGCAGGCTTATGGGAATGCGATCGGGCCACTCGCAGTCTGCGAGGGGCCCACTCGAAGACCGGCCGAACCGACCACGAGCAAAAAATCGAGACCGACCGAGACCGACGGGCCGCAAGCAGCAGCAGGGCGCGGCGACGCATCCAAGACCCAACATCGGACTGAACCGAACCCACCGGACACCTTTCCCACCAGCCGCGAGGAAACCTGTGGCAAGACCGAGCCGACCGAACACAGCCGACTGCGAAGCAACCGACTCCCAGCCGAAACGCGGGCACCCGCGGCGATCCTCATCCTCACTCGGGTCTCCGACTTGGCGGCGCGCGAGAGGGGGGAAAGGGGAGGGAAGAAGGCCCTCTCCGAAGGCGGCGGGACTTCTCAGAAGCCCCTCGCGCCTTCTGGAAGTGGGCTGCACCTTCGGGGAAGGCCTGGACAACTCCTCAGGAGGCCGGGGGACTCCCGAGCCTGCTGAGAAGGCCCGCCCCCTCCCACTTCCCCCCTTCCCTCGCCGCCGACCGACAGCCGTCCGGGAGGAGGAGGAGGAGGAGGAGGAGGAGGAGGAGGAGGAGGAGGAGGAGGAGGAGGAGGAGGAGGAGGAGGAGGAGGAGGAGGAGGAGGAGGAGGGAGGAGGAGGAGGAGGAGGGGGGGGGGAGGAGGAGGAGGAGGAGGAGGAGGAGGAGGAGGGGGGGGAGGAGGACGAGGAGGAGGAGGAAGGCAGGATGGATGAGTTCGACTGTGGATAAGCCGGGGGCCACTCTCGGCGACCCGCAGCTGCCGCCGAGCACCCCGAGGCGGCAGAACCTCCAAGGCCCCGCGGAGACGAAGACAAACGGCAGCGTCCCCAGACATCCGACGAGATGCGTTCTCAATCCGCGGCCCCGAAGAGCCCGACCCCTTCTCGCCATCGCTCGGACGTCCATTTCCCGTGCGTTTTTCGGTTTCGTGCGTGTTTGTTTCGCTCGATGGTCCAGGATGGTCATCAAGGGCCCTCGCCGAGAAAAACATGCACACGTCCGAGCGATGCCAGGCCTTCCCCGGGGCAAACTTCCGGGACGATCGAAATGGATACGGAAAGAACGGGTACAAAGACCAACAGCAGCTCCTGTTCATTATGATCCAGACTCTCGCTGTCGGTGTCGCCGCGGACTGTGGCCATTGGAGACAGAAGGCTGCCTGCCAGACAGCAGCCGCTGTGGGCACGAACAGAAAATCTCGGCGCGCCGCGCGGCCTCCTTGGCTCTGCGCCAGGACCCCCCCTGCCTGGCGCGCAGAGCGCGCCAGAGGCAGCGCCGATGGCGCCGCCGGTGGGGGGCCCAGCGCGGATCCAAGAAACCCGCGCGGAGCGCCAGACATTTCTGCTTACGCCGTGGCTTCTCTTCCCGCCACGGGGGGGGGCATGGGGGGAGGAGGAGGAGGAGGAGGAGGAGGAGGAGGAGGAGGTAGGAGGAGAGGATAGCAGGAGGAGGAGGAGGAGGAGGAGGAGGAGGAGAGGGAGGAGGAGGAGGAGGAGGAGAGGAGGAGGAGGAGGAGGCAGGAGAGGGAGGAGGAGGAGGGGAGGAGCAGGAGGAGTAGGAGGAGGAGGAGGAGGAGGAGGAGGAGGAGGAGGAGGAGGAGGAGGAGGAGGAGTGAGGAGGAGGAGGAGGAGGAGGAGAGGAGGGGAGGAGGAGGAGGAGCGCGCCCCGGTGCCCCCGGGGGAGCGCGGCGGTCCTGCTTGCCCCGGGGAGGAGCTGGCCCCGCTCCCCGCCGCGTGCGCGCCCGCGGCGGCCGCGGCCGCGCTGGGCTCCCACCACGGTGGTGCAGGGGCACGAAGAGTGGCACAGAATGCAGCTCTTCCTCATTCCTCCTTCCCTCTCCTCCTCCTCCTCTCCTCTCCTCCTCCTCCTCTCCCTCCTCCTCCTTCCTCCTCCTGCCTGCTCTGCTCCTCTCCTCCTCCTCCTCTTCCTATCTCCTGCTCCTCCTCCTCTCCTCCTCCTCACTCTCCTCTCTCCTCCTCCTCCTCCTCCTCCTCCTCCTCCTCCTCCTCCTCCTCCTCCTCCTCCTCCTCCTCCTCCTCCGACCAGTGGCACAGACACGACAGCTCGGAGGCCCGCGAAAGACTTCTCGCATCGGCGCTGGGCGCGCGGCGCGTCAGGGGCGCGCGGAGCGCGGAAGGACGGTCCGAGGCTCGCCCTGGCGCGCGCGCGCGCGAGGACTCCGAGACTCCCTGGCGCGCGGAGCGCGCCAGGGACGGCGCCGGAGGCGGAGGCGCCGCCAGGGGGGTCCCAGCGCCGATGCGAGAAATCCGCGCGGACGTCCGAGTTTGTGTGTTCATGTCATTCTCTGTTCCCCGATGTCGGCGGTGGACCAACCTCCCTCTCGTGAACCCTCCGTCTCGTGAACACGGCCTGGGGCCGCAACCGACGTACCCGGACCCGCAACACTGCCGGCCGCGACGCCCTCTGGCGAACCGACACCGGTTCATGCGCTAATCGACGTGTCAGGGTAGGAGTGCGGGACGGGAAAATGACCACATCCACTGCTTCTGGTTTGCGCCGCCTTCCAGCCGGCCGAAAAAGAAGCAGTGGTTGTGGCCATTTTCCCTGGTGCCAAGCTCAACGAAAATGACCACAACCACTGCTTTGTTTCTGCGGGCTGGAAGGCGGCAACAAAAGAAAAGCAGTGGCTGTGGTCGTTTTCACGCCCCGTAAGGAGGTCTGTCAACCTCCGACTATGGTGGCCGCCAGCGTCGCCCCGCCCGCGCCCGCGCCCGCGCCAGCCGCCGCCGCCTCCCGCCGAGCCCTCGGGGCCGTCGCTGCGGGCTGCCGTGGTCGACCCGCCGCCCCCACAAGGGAGGGGGACGCCACGAGGTCCCGCGAGGAGGAGGAGGAGGGGGAGGAGGAGGAGGAGGAGGAGGAGGAGGAGGAGGAGGAGGAGGAGGAGGAGGAGGATACGACGCTATAGGGAAATGTCGCGCGGAGCACTGACATACACCTTGAAGCGGGGGGGCAATTAGCCTCCCCCGATCGTCCACGTTGGCGACCCCCACCCACCAAGGGATCTCGGTAGGGGACGACGGACGACGGCAGCGGCGGCGGCGTGGGCGGTCCTGGCTGTAACCGTCGTCCAGGAGGTGCGCGCGCGCGCGGGGGCGCGCGCGCACGCGACACACAGACGCCGACAAAGGACCACCCAGCCACACCACCATCAAAAACAAAACGAGTTAAAGGCACCAGGATAGGACCAGGAGCCGCGGCCAAAGTCCAGAAGATTTTGAAGAGGGACGGGCCGAAAAAGAGACAACTCAAGGCCCAAGGAGACGAAGCCAGGAAATCTCAGCATCGTCCACCAAGAGGGGCCTAGGTTGTGGGATGCGTCGTGAATTCCGACGGCCTTCGTCAGCTGGATGAAACCTGCCTAAGAACAAACGTCGGTTCCTCTGGGCTCGCTCGCTCATAACGGTCGGCGGTGAGCATTCCAGGAGGAGGTGACTGGCCACACCTGAGCTGTAAAAACCGCATCTGATGCATAGAACAATGTGGCCTTCTGAGACCCAGCATCTGTGACCTCGAGCCGCGACTGGCGGCACAATACCCGTCGACGGCAGAATAGCGGCTGGGACCGTAGTCTGCGACAGCGACGGGCGGCCTCTGGGCTGAAATCGCTGTCGCTTCGCTGGTGGCATGTCTGGCACAAAGGCTGGTCCTTCTCTGTCTGGGCAACTCGAGAGGCTCGGACGACTCACGACAAGAGGGCGAGAGTCAGGGGAGGGAGAAGATCGATCAATAGACTGGACAGCCTGTGCCAATTCCTCAGCGTCAACAGTGCGACTCGAAACAACAGGATCAAAACTTATCCTAGCCCGCACAGAACGTTCTGACGGGGAGGCTGACCTTCTCCGAGGGAGTACTTCATGCAGCAGCCTCTGCCGCGTCACACGGCCCCCAGAAGGGCTGCGGGATCCTCGGCTGGACGCAGCACGCACAGGGCAAACCCAACTGGAGAGACGCTGCACCCTCTCCTCAGATCTGGCCCCCTTCTTACAAAAATCGCACCGCCAGAACTTATCCCGAGCCGGAGTAAAAACGTGTTTCAAATGAGCTTCAGGCGCCCTGGAGGCCTTGACTTTGGACCGAACTTTGATCTTCCGAGGGCGCCGAAAAGTGGCGACACGTCCATGTGACAAGTGAGACGAGTGAGCCTGCATCAGCCATCTGAGCACACCCCTCACAGACCTGAGGGCCATCCTCATGGAATCGAAAGCAGCCTTGCTAGCTGAGTGGAGATCCCGCCCCTGACAGGCAGCAAAATCAGCCCATCTGTTGGACCGTGCCTCGACGGAGTCGCCAGATTGGTGACCCCTGACATGCGAAACTCTAATAGCCTCTCCAAGGCCACCGAGGTCATCGAGCTTTCTCCAGATCGCCTCCCAGAGGTCGGTATTTGGTCGCCTGGGGCCACAACATAAGCCAGGACCCAAAGCAAGGCCCTCGACCAGGCCATAAAAATCCGTATGCACATGAATCGGCAAAATACAGACCACTAGAACCTGCAGGAAGGCGTATAACTCAGACCTAGGCGAGCTCTGAATGGGTCCAGGAAGGGCTCCGTATACAAGCAGCTGGATGTCACGCCTAACATACTTCACGAAACCCCATCCCGCCCTCGTAGCCTCTGGCCAGTACCAAGCTTTTCTGCACGCACCGTCTGTGTAGATGTCCCCCGTGACATTGTCCAGGGACCCGTATTGTATGTGCCAGCGTCCACTATCATCTCGTGGGGGCACAGGAGGAAAACAAGATCGAGGTGCCATGCCTCTTGTCCAAAACCAGGAGCCAGGCGAGCGTGGCGGCAGGCCCCGACAATCAACACTACGCATTGCCTCCCGCTGCTGTGCTGCACGTCCGTCACACTCCCAAGAAATATGATATGAGGTGCATATATCGCAATCACACGCTGGACAGCACGATGTGCGAGAATATCCATGCCGATAAAGTCGATGCGGGGACCACAGTCCCCCTCCCACCAAGGCCCTCAAGAGCCCATCCTCAGACACCGTAAGCTTCCAAGGGCCTTCAGGATCAAGAGCAGGGTCCTCCACAGGGTCATGCGGACGATCCTTCAAGAGTCCCAATATAGGCTCCATCCAATATCCGAGAGGCTCTTTGGGGTCCATGTTATCATCAGCAGGATTGGACCTCAAGCTCCATGCTTCCCACATACGACGGACAGCAGCAGCACGAGCGAGGTCACGCACCGTCACAGGTGCATCTGTCAGAAGATCCAAACGATCTCCAATATCCGTGACAATACTAGCGGCTGAGGTCGTCCTCCAGCCAAGCGCCTGCACAGCCAAAAGCATAGCTCCTGCTGGACCTGCAACGTTAGCCCATGGCTTGTGGGCTTGGAGGACACGAAAGACCTGTCTCGTCCAAGCCTTCTGCAGGGTGCTATGTTGTACACCACGGTCCCGAAACAATAAGGCCCACTGGTAAACTGGTTGAACCCAGCAGGCCACTTGGGGGTCCTCATACATGGAGCCCTGGAGGCACGATGTTAACCACGCAGAGGTAGTAGAACCTGGGGTATACCACGTGCCCCGCATGATCCCCCTCATGGCCTCGACAAGCTGCGGCGGGGCCCCATGAACCCCAACTCCATATTGCATGGCCGACGGGAGGGCCTGCTTAGCGAAGCGAGCGGCCAGGGACCCTGCTTTTTGAATCCTTCGAAGCCGAGGTTGACGTTTACGAGTGTTGTGAATACGTTCACGGAGCCTACGATGTCGAATAGGGCGGCCTGCATTAACCTCAATCCCCAAGACTTCCAGGGCTGACTGATAGCAAAACCCGCGCCATGCCAATCTTTTGGCAATCTTCATACCGATGGCGGGCGAACTGCAAGTGAGCGTCATCTTGTGGCGCGCGGGCGGCAAACCAACGGCGTGCAGCATGTCCACAAGAATGGAGAGGAGGGAGCAAGCAGCATCAACAATAGCATAAGCAGTACCAACGATGGCAATCGTGATATCGTCGGCGTAAATGTCAATCGACCTGTCAATGTGCTGAGTGTGCCCAGACAACGAATCAAACGGCGAAATCATCACACACTGCAAACAGAACATCGCCAGAGGACACCCAGGCAATATTCCCCTCGTAGCCCATATAGGGGCCGAGAAACACGCATCCCACGATAGACGGCGAGAGGACGCATACATGCGTACAGCAAGCACCATGAGGGTAGAAGGAAAATCATGCTGCACTGCCGATCCAAGTAGCCGTCTCCACGGCACACGATCGAAACACTTCTCAATGTCTATAATCGCATGCACTGTGATGGGGGAGTCCGCCACCTCGACAGAGGTCGATTCGGCTTGAACCAACAGTCTTGCAGCAACGTCCGTCGTGCTCTTCTGGGCCCCAAGCGCCAGGAAGCCCCTATTCAACGAGCCAGCCCAAGACCGAGCCCAATTGAGACGTGCCTTTCCCCAGATGCGGTATATAGACGGAAGTAGTGCAATAGGACGATATCCCCCAGACGGCTTAATCAGGAGGACGATGTGCACATGCTTGATTAGTGCAGGCCACTGGCCCCACGATTCGCAAAGATGAAATAGGTAGCCCAAAACTGCCAAAGCACCATTAGACGCCAATGCCCAATGCCGCGGACGAAAAACATCTGCTCCGACCGCTGTGCCTCCCGCGAACTGTTTGGCAGCTCGACGAAGCTCACCTATCCTCAAAGGCGGCAAACGAGGACCCTTCGCTATAAGCTCTTGCAGATCCCCCAAATGATCATCACCTGAACAGTCCTGAACACTAGCCGCACAATGATCGGGCTCATGATCAACACCAGCCCAGATCGATCCCCAAGCAGCCCTCTGGGCCGCGGCAATATCATCAGGAAAACTGCTAGGGCCCAACTCAGTTTCAACTTCAGCGAGCTGCCACCCACGCGGCTTAGTCCAGCGATGAACGGGGCCTGACTTGCCGCGGAGGGCCTTCTTCAGCCAAGACGAAAAATCCTTAGATCTGGCAGACCCAAGCCTGCGCTCTTCAGCCTCGGCCGCACGACCGCAGAAGTCACCAAGGAACTGCAGCATGTTGCAATAGTACACCGGTGGCTGTGCCGATATACACGTAATGATATGCACAAGGTCGTTCACTAGGTATTTAGGCATCGACATGCGAAGTCTACCATCCTTCCCATGCCCACCCATAAATTCGACTAGGTGCGCCCAAATACGTGTGCATAATATGGTGTTATTGCGCTGGTATGCGTGACACAGATCATGAATGCGCTGCTGTAAAGTACGAAGTGCTCGTGATAAGCGCGTGCCACTCGGCTGCTGCCGTGCCAAAGCGCCTCCTGCAGTACTGTACGCATACCGTGGGCCCTGGGCTCGGCCCAAGAACTTGGCAGGCTGTCCGCCTGTGTCAAAGAGTGGTAGCAACTCCGCCTCCACTCCTTTATACAAGTCGGCGGCGAGGTCATTCAAGCGCTGTGCATGACCTGCAGCATCACCAAAGCCTAAACTTGCATCTCTGCGCATTAGCTGTGGCCATTCTACCTCTGGAAGCCCTCGATCCGTATAGACCAACTCCCCATCCTCGTCATCATCTCCCATGTCTGGCGAAACGATAGGATGCACAGGTAGAAGTTGGGGCCCGAGTAGACGGCGAACTTTCTGGGCGCGCGGGCGGGGCCCAAGAGAGACCTGAATGGGGTAGTGCACACGCGCAGGATACCCTCCACATATAGTCGGAGTACCCATCGCCGCCGCCAACGAGTCACTGGCCAGCCAGAAATCAATCTTGGAATAGTTGCCAGACCCTGGATCCCGACACGTACCTTCGTCCGCGGCAACCACCCTAGCATCCAGCTTCGTAGTGATGTGTGACTGCTCGATAACTTCTGGCTTGACATTCCAGTCACCTGCCACGACAAAGGGCAGACCGTAATATCGGAGGGATGAGCCCAGACGTGATATGCGATTCGTATTCGCACCACCCAGCTTCAATCCCTGCTCGAGATACGATGAGGCCACCACAAAACCTCCACGTGGTCCAGCACGAACCAGCACGGCCACACTGAAACCTGGTACTATAACATGATCACGAAGGCAGGCCGTGAGCTTGACCACGCCGATGTTTCTGCGCACAAAAAGGCCAACACCTGCTCGTGGCTTGTCTGACTCTGAAACAATTGCATCCGTGATGAAAGGTTGCCATCCTTGCCGCACACACCATTCTTCAGCTTGTAGCCGTCCATTCCCATGAAGGTGCAACTCCTGCACGGCAACAATAGAAACATGCCGCATGTTGTCCAGGAAGTCCTTGGCTTGTGGCCATCCTGAGCTGTTGAAACTAACCATGATCAGCGACTTGCGTCGCGAACCACGTAGACCTCGCCGCTGACGGTGAGCTGGCTGATCGCTGGACCAAGTCATTGAAGAAGACCCCTTGCCCTTCTTCGTAACAGCAACCTGCCCAGCAGCATGGCCATCATCATTACTCGGTGGTCGGTACCCTCTGGCCGCATGTTGGGTGGGCAACGCTGAGCAGTGCGTACCATACGGCCCATCCTGGACCGCAGGTCGGTACCCTCTGGCGCTGCCAAGCCCCTCCACCACGGCTGAGCAGTGCGTGCCACCGAGCGATGGCAAACTGGAGCCTGTATTAGTCGATGCTGACGCCGAGATCCTAGGGTCACCCGACACTGCATCAATCATAGGAGGTAATGAAGGCTGGTCAGCATGCAGTTGCACATAGCCGTCTCGACCTGGGTCGAAAGGCCTGACAGCACCGTCGCTGAACAGCCTAGGCATGTCGAAAAACTGTAAATCGTTACCCAGCTCCGTCGTCCATGTCGGACTCATCCGTCCCTGCAGCATCATCGTGTGCGGCAAGGAGCTCGTCCCATGGATGTGAAGCTGGAATACCAGAGCCAGGGGCCATCGCAGACGTCGCATGAGTCCGTCGATGTTGTGCCAGTGCCGTCTGCAATTGTGTGACATGCGTACTGAGCGATGCACATAGCGCTCCCAGATTCTCAGGTGTGGTAGACGGTGCTGCCTGTACAATCTGCTCCAAACGTTCGAGAGCGCCCGATACGTCGCGATCACCGCCTTCGTCTGGTGCAGAACGTCCTGTGGCCAGCACCGCAGCACGAGCAGTGATGACCTCTGAGTGGATCGCCGCCAGGTCCGCGGTCGCAGTCTGCAGCTCGGCCGCTTTGGTGTCATACTCAGCCTTGAGCCTGTCGACCTCACTCTGCAGCGCTGAGACCTCGCGAGACTTAGCAGCCTGTCGATCCAACGCACGTCGGAGAAGATCGTCAGGCGTTCGCTGTGAACGCTCCATCGCCTCTGCGGCCTGAAGCTCCTTGCGTGCAGCGACCACCAATCCACTACTATCATCAAGACCCAATCGACGTAACGCTGCCACCGCCTTGCGAGCACGAGTGACTGCCTCAGATGCAGATGGGTCTTCAGAGGGCTCCTTCTCACTGCCTTCACGAATCCTGTCTTTGCCCCGCCCTGAGGACGGTGGTCTCGACGAACGGCGCCTCGTGCGGTCTGGCGGTCCAGCAGGGTCTGGCTGACCCGACTTGTCCCTGCCACACAAGTAGCACCTTGCCGAAGTAGCGAAATTGCGAGCATAGCCACACTGACGAGTAGCCGTGCACGCCCATCTCGGCTCACGTGGGTCATCTCTCTGCTGAGTCCCACGTCCGCCTTTGCCTCCTCCCATGAAACGGGAGGCGTGGTGTTGAGAAAGTAAATGACGCGCACGGTCCAGGCGCAACAGATGCCGCGCGGCCTGACGACGTCGCCTCAGCCGTCGATGCCACGCCGGTGACCTGGACCTCTCTGTCGTCCTAGCCTCACGCTGTCAGCACCTGGGCCGACGCAAGGCAACCACAGCGCCCCTGCCAATCGCTCGCACACGGCCGCGGGCACGGGGCTGGGCGCGGGCGGCACAAAACGCGACACAGGGAAATGTCTCCCGTGCCTCAAGCCCACGCCTTGAGCCAAAATGGCTACGGAGGAGGAGGAGGAGGAGGAGGAGGAGGAGGAGGAGGAGGAGGAGGAGGAGGAGGAGAGGGAGGGGAGGAGGAGGAGGAGGAGCAGGAGGGGGGAGGAGGAGTGAGGAGGAAGGGGGAGGAGAAGGAGGAGTAGGAGGAGGAGGAGGGGGAGGAGAATGAGGAGAAGAAGGAGGAGGTGCTGCCAGGCTAGAAGCAGGAGGCCCTCACTGGGCCTGGGGACCGTCAAGAAAGTCTCAGGAGGAAAGGTCGGTCTCTTGGAAGGGGTCCAGACCTTTGGGGCGTCACGTGAAATAATCACGACGTCAGATGTCTGGCGAGGAGGAGGAGGAGGAGGAGGAGGAGGAGGAGGAGGAGGAGGAGGAGGCTGGCCGTGTTGCGCCCAGCTCCCAGCCCTTCGACCCTCACAGCTCGGCGCGGCTCGACATCGGTTCCCCGTCCCCACGGGGTGAGATCCCGAGGGCGCATGGCGTCTCCATCTCCTCGAGCTGGGCGTGGTGCGCCCTGCTTCCGGCCCCTCGACCCTCCCGAGGTCGACGCGGCTCGAGGGACGATCTGCCGGACGAGTGGGTCAGGGGCTATGGTGGTGGCTGGCCAGCGCTCGGACGTCATTTTTTTTTAGGTTTTTTCGCGAAATGGTCGAGGATGCTCCTCGAAGGTTCTCGCCGAGAAAAAATGCACACGCCCGAGCGATGCCAGGGTGGTGCTGCACGATGCTGCAGTGCTTCTCGCCGCGTCGGATCCTCAGGAGAGGCAGCATCGCGCGGCCCAGGCCCTCTCTCTTCGGCCCGTCGGCTCTCTCTGAGGCTCCCTCGCCTCGGGGCGCCGCCGGAGGTCCCGACACCTTCCCCGAGAGCGGTCTCCACCTTGAGGCTGGTTACCAGCCCCGAAATTATCCCTATCCCTAAGATTGTCACGCCAAAAGGCGATGACAATCTTAGGGATACGCCCTCAAAAAGAATCCCTAAGATTGGCATCGTGATGAGGAGATGCCCAGCATAGGGATAGGGATATGCTCCAGGCTGGTAGGCTGGCTGTGCGCGGCGATCCCTGGGAGTCTGGCTGCGCACGAAGGCTTAGAAGCCTCCGTGGACGCCTCTGAGCCGCCCAAGCCTCTTGGGTTGGGCGAGCGACCACAGCTCTGGTGACGGCGCAAGCTGGTGCGTAGGGGACCTTGTCGCAGTAGCGGCCGTGCGTGCGCGGCCGCTTCTGGCAGCAGAAGCAGCAGAACCGCGCGTCCCAGGTGGCCTCTCCAAGCTTTGGGCAACTTCGGTTGTTCGAACCTGTACACGCCAGTCGGAAGAAGGGGGTAGAAGCATGAAGTAGGAAGGAGGACAAAGTAGATTCGTTTCAGGCCCAGCCAACAGCCAAATAATAGCACAGCACAGCAAACACATGCTGGTTCTTGATGTAGGAAGGCGCCTACAATAGATTTGGATCTAGAAATCAAAACAACTACCAGCGTGTAGGTTTTCTCTGCACTTTTGGCATCTTGGCGACTTTGCGGACCCAGGGACAATCAAAACCAGATCTTGGACGAAAAACTGTCATTGGGGAAGACGGTCAGGATCATCAAAAAGCAGCTCTTGGATGAAAAAACAAATCCTTGCGAGCCCAAGAACACTGAAAGCCAATTCCGTGGGGAAGAGGGTCAGAACCCCTGGGGCCCGCGGATTGACAAGTAGAATCCGTCGGATGTCTGGATCCGGAAGGCAAAACTACTGGGTGAGCTGTGCTCCTTACAACCCTGGGGGGGACCCCCGGGGAATAATTACAGGTCACGGCTTCCCCGGACACGGCTGGTCTGACGACATGAGCATACACTTCTGGAGGCCCGCGCAAATCTCTTGGCCTGACGCCTCCGACTGAGTATGTACAGTCGGAGCGTTGACCCAAGGAACCCTAAATACGGAACGAGGCCCCTCAGATCCACAAGTTGGACTTCGATTCCCCATCGAAAACCAAAGCAAAACCCAGGGCAAACTGCGAAGCAATCAAGAAACACGGAGCCCCTCCCCAACGAAAAGGGTTCCTTCCTCAGGGCCCCGACTGTATGCCGTGCTTGCTGGCCCTCGAGCCTCGAAGTCGCAGTTGTCGCACTGGCGCTTCCCGCTCGGCGGCATCCGAAAGCACAGCGCGTCGTGCTCCACGCCGCCCGTCTGCGCACACCTCCCGCAGCAGTGGCTCACGCTGGGGAAGAGGCTGACCACGTGGGCGCCGGAGCAGCTGGGGCACGGCCGCCGCTTCCAGGCGGCGAAGAGGCCCTGCAGGGAGCCGACCGCACGCTGGCAGGCGAGGGGCACGTCCTCAGAGGCCTCCCCAGGTGGGGTCCGAGCAGATGGGGTCGGAGCACCGCGGCGCATCGCGGACACATCGGCGCTGCATCGGCGCTGCATCGGTGATGCACTGGCGAGGCATCGTCGACGTCGGCGATGCACCGGCGACGTCCGCGTGAAGCAACTCGGGCTCCGCATCGAGCCGCATCGGCGACGCATCGGCGATGCGGCGCGATCCTCCGACTCCATCTACTCGGACCCCATCCAGGAGGCCTAGAGTCCTGTTGGCTCCTGCTCCTTCGCTTACTGCTCTCGCCGGGCACCGCCATCAGCCAGTGCGGGAACGTCGCGGCGAAGACGGCGACCCACCCGAGCCCCTCGCCAGCCCGGCGTGCCAGCCTGGCCCCCGGCGCCGCCAGGCGCTGCAGCTGCGGCAGCGGCAGGGCCCACGCCAGGCACAGCAGCACGGTGCGGGACCCGCCCCGCTTCTCGAAGCCGCAGGCCAGAATGCTCTGCAGCCTCTGCCAGTCGTAGGAGTGCTCCAGCAGATACCTATAGGGGAACAAGCACTGACAGAAGCATGACAACTCGGAGGTCCGACCAGACAACTCGGATCGGAGCTGGAGCCCCCCCGGCGGAGGCCCCTGGCGCGCTCCGCGCGCCGGGGAGGGGGGTCCAGCGCTGATCCGAGAAATCCGCGCGGACCTCCGGGTTGTCATGCCTATGTGATTTTGCCGATGCCTCCAATGATACCACAGGTAGGCCAGGCAAATCAGGCGCCGGGGATCGTGGTGGCAGAAGCGCATCAGCACGGAGTACCCGCGAATGAAGCGCGAGACCACGCGGCCCCGGCGAGCGCACAGCTCCTCGTGCACGTCCACCTCCCCGACCGCCCGCAGCAGAGCCTGCCGGTTCACCTTGCCAGTGGCGACGTGCCGCGGCAGCGCCTCTGCGGCAAGGAGGTAGGTGGAAAAGCCCGGTGGCAGCTCTCGCCGGATGGCCTCGGCCATGGCCAGGGGTCGGCCAGCGTTCCCCGAAGCAGCCAGGTCCGTGCCGTTGGAGGGCCGAGGCACGACGAACGCGCCCCTGAGCTGAGGCGTGGCGATAATCTTTGCCTCGAGCACGCCTGACAGCGCAGCGATGCTCGCCTCCAGGGTCAGGGTGTCGACCCACTTGCCGCCAACTTTGGCCATGTCGTCGCAACGGCCGCAGTAGTCGAGCAACCGTCTGGGCTCGATCCAGCGGACGAGGTCTCGCGTGCGAAAATACCGCCTCCCCTCGATGTCCAAGAATCGGCCTTTGTCATCCTCGGGGTCGGCGTAACCAGGAAAAACAGTCGCGCCGGAGAGGCAGAGCTCTCCGACCGCGCCTCCCTCAACGGGAGCCTCGCCGTCGGGCTCGACTATCTGCACATCCACCCCACCGACGATGCGCAGTGCCCGACCGCCGCTGCCAGCAGTATCCTCATTGTCCATAAAGAGGGCCAGCCAGTACTCGGTGGCGATCAGCAGATCGCAGAGAGGCACCCTGCCCCGCCATCTGGCAGCTACCGCCTCGGGCAAATGCTCCGCCCACGAGATCAGAAAACGAACAGTTGGAATATCCTCTGGGGACGATCGGCGGTCGCCACGGGTGTCTCTGGCCAGATGTGTCTCCAAGTTTCTGTGCACTTCTGTAACCCCTGGGGCCCTCTGGGCCTTGTGATGGGGTGCTCTGGTGGCCTTGTGGTCCTCCCTGGAAATCCTGGGGACACCGCGTGCCAGGAACGCCTCTGGCAACACCCGAGATAAGTGTGCCAGCACACTCGGCACGGCACCCAGCGCAGTCAGCCGGAAGCGTCGGCAAGCCTCTGCTATATCCCCGGGGAGCGATGCCTCGACCATGACGGCGGTCCCCGCTCCAGCCAGCGCCACATCCAGCTGGCCCAGCAGCGCTGCGCCCCAGTACGCAGAGGAGTTCTGCAAGAACCGCATGCCGCTCCCGCGCAGCCCCGCCGGCAGAACCTCCGCGTAGCGCCTCACCTCGTGCAGGGCCATCGCGTGGCTGACCCTCACCGCCTTGGAGGCCCGCGTGGTGCCGCCAGTGAAGCTGATGGGCCTGTTTCCCACCACCCCCACCGTAAGTTGGGGGGGGGAAGGAGGTGGAGGATGAGGAGGAGGAGGAGGAGGAAGAGGAGGAGGAGGAGGAGGAGGAGGAGGAGGAGGAGGAGGAGGAAAAAGGAGGAGGAGGAGGAGGAGGAGGAAAAAGGAGGAGGAGGAGGAGGAGGAGGAGGAGGAGGAGGAGGACCCCCTCCCCCCCCTACTCATGGTGGCGGTGGAGAACAAGCCCACCAAAAGCAGTACGCGAGCAGCGCCTCGCCGCCCACGCGCGGCAGGCCCCGGAGCTGCGCGGCGCCTCCGGGCCCGCCGGCGGCCCCCGCCGCCCCCGCCGCGAGCCCCTCCGCGCCGACCGCGGGCACCCCCGCCCTGGCCGCCTGCCTACGGGGCGTGAAAAACGACCACAGCCACTGCTTTTCTTTTGTTGCCGCCTTCCAGCCCGCAGAAACAAAGCAGTGGGGTTGTGGTCATTTTCTCGTTGAGCTTGGCACCAGGGAAATGGCCACAACCACTGCTTCTTTTTCGGCCGGCTGGAAGGCGGCGCAAACAAGAAGCAGTGGTTGTGGTCATTTTCCCGTCCCGCACTGCCGCAGCAGGTCGGCGACCCCCGACAGCGCCCCGGCGCCCTCGTGGACGAGCAGCTGGAGGGCCAGGGTGCGCAGGGCGTCGCCGGAGCGCTGGGACTCCGCGGCGCCGTCGCGCAGGTCGCCGCTCAGGGCGACGATGGGCACACCGCAGCGCATGGCGCCGGCGTAGATGCCCATCCAGCGGGGGCCGCGGCGCATCATGGTGCCCAGCGGCCTCGCGGAGGAGGGAGTGAGGCCCAGCAGCAGGAGCGCGCGGGCGACGAGCCGGGAGTGCTGGGAGAGCTCGGAGTACGTCATCGACGAGGTGCCATCCTCGACGGCCACCACGTCGGGGCTGCTTTCGGCTATGCCATCCACGACCTCGTGCAGCGCCCCAGGCAAAGTGGCAGGCGGTGCTGCCGCCTGCCCACCGAGGTCGTCCATGACCAGAACACGCGACAATTGATCGCCCGCCTATAAGCCAAATGGCTACGGACCTCCTCCTCCTCCTCCTCCTCCTCCTCCTCCTCCTCCTCCTCCTCCTCGCCCGACATCTGACGTCGTGATTATTTCACGTGGCGCCCCCAAGGTCTGGACCCCTTCCAAGAGACCGACCTTTCCTCCTGAGACTTTCTTGACGGTCCCCAGGCCCAGCGAGGGCCTCCAGCGACCGAAGATGGCTCCAAACATCCCGCCGTGAATTTGTGCACGACCCGAGGAGGTCTGGGACCCGCTCGTTCCCCCACCTCGACTCTATCTCATCCTCCCCTCCTTTGGTCTGCTTTCGCTGAGGAAGCCTCCCCATCATCGACTCAAGGCGTCTGTCATGCGAGCGTGGCCGACACTCCGAAAACCTTACGGTCGTGCAGTGTGGGATGATGGTCGAGAACAACATCGGGGGGACGATTTGGGATTTGGGATTTGGCAATGTGCCGATGGGAAAGCTTTTCGAGGGGACAGTCAAAGAACCTCAATGACGACGACGACGACGACGACGACGACGACGACGACGACGACGAGGAAGACGCTCACGAGTAGACCTGAATCCAACCAACTGGTCACGGCCCAGGGCTTTACCGCGTGACAGGCCCCGCCCGGTAAGGAGGGCGAGAACGATGTCAGGATAAAAGTGGCTCGGGATACGTTCCAGGTTTTTCATCGGCTGCACGTACGAGTGACCCTTGTACTGGTATCCAGCCTACCGCCAGCCTTTTCCACTCGCCGGCCCGCCGCTGAGGTGCTGCGTGAACCTCCGGCCCACCGCTTTAGGTTAATTCGTCTTTACGCGCCCCGCTCTGACTGGACTCGCGCTGGCGCGCTCGCCTGCGGCCGCTGACTAAAAAGTAAGAGTGACCCTAGGCAAGAGTGACCTCTGGTGCGCGGCTCCTGGGGGGGCGCGAAGAGGCCAGACACAAGCGCGCGAGGAGCTGCTGTCGCACCACGCGCGGCGATCGGGGGATCCCAGTGGGCGCCCACCAGAGGTCGCTCTGGCAAAGGGTGACTCTTACGCGTAGTTGCTTCCAGAGTCTCTAGCGGCGCAGCGCGTGCGGAACATCTGAAAGCATGAGGACTTCTGGAAACCTAGGGCATCCTGGAGCGTATCATTATCATCATCATCATCATCATCATCATCATCAGCAGCAGCAGCAGCAGCAGCATCATCCAGATTACCATCACCGTCAGCATCATCTGATCATATTCATCATCATACTCAACATCAGCATAAACATCATAAACAGCATCAGCATCATCATCATCATCATCATCATCATCATCATCATCATCATCATCATCATCATCATCATCATCATCATCATCATCATCACCACCATCTTGATCATCATCTCCAGCTCCTCGGAGTATATCTTGAAGACCGTCCAGCATGAGCCCCCGGCGAAGGCACAGGATCGGGAGTTGGAAGGCGCGGCGGGGGGGAAAAGGGGGGGGGAGACGTGAGCAGCGCTGTTGCCCGAACCTGGCACATCACTTCTCCTGCTTCCAGCCAAGCAGCACCTCCTCCTCCTCCGCCTCCTTCTCCTCATCCTCCTCCCCCTCCTCCTCCTCCTCCTCCTCCTCCCTACTCCTCCTCCTCTCCTCCTCTCCTCTTCCTCCTCCTCCTCCTCCTCCTCCTCCTCCTCCTCCTCCTCCTCTCCTCCTCCTCCCTCCTCCTCCTCCTCCTCTCCTCTCCTCCCCCTCCCCCTCCTCCCCCCCTCTCCCCTCCTGCCTCCCCGCCTCCTCCCTCTCCTCCTCCTCCTCCTCTCCTCCTCCCTCCTCCTCCCTCCTCCTCCCCCCTCTCCTCTCCTCTCCTCCTCCTCCTCCTCCTCCCTCCTCCTCCTCCTCCTCCTCCTCCTCCTCCTCCTCCTCCTTCCTCCTCCTCCTCCTCCCTCCTCCTCCTCTCTCCTCCTCCTCCTCCTCCTCCTCCTCCTCCTCCTCCTCCTCCTCCTCCTCCTCCTCCTCCTCCTCGGGAAACGCAAACACTTGCGGGGCATACAGCGGCTCGTGGCCACGAGCAGCTATTATGGAGGAGGCGCCGAAAACCGCTGTTCCACCAGCCACCAGACGCCCACGCAATTGACATCGGTTTCTTGTCAAGTGGCTACCCAAAGATTTGCATGCCTCCCCGGAAACAGTCGTTGCTGAAACGTGTTTGACTGTCCCACATCTCGGTGAGGGCCTCCGGAAGCCACGAATGGTTCAATCCCGCCCGTCGTGACTTTTCCACGAGGTGAGTGGGTCAAGGTTTGCGAGGAGAACGAGGAGAAGGATGACCCCTGGGTCTGATGAGGAAGGCGCGATGTGCTGATCTTGTGGTCTGGGCGCGCTCTGGCTGCCTTGGAGCTTGGGCCTTCTGGGTCACTTCGGCCTCGAGGCACAAGTTGGAAGAAGCCACGCAGGACGAATGCAGAGGATGAGGACGATCTTAGATATCCACTTCCTCCTCCACAATTATACCCGACAGTACGACAAAGAAGTTTTCATGATAGCCAGCGGTAACCCCGAACAGTAGGTTATTGCAATCTGCGCGGTGCAATCGATGTGGCCAACGTATGCGATGCAGTCGACGTGATGCAATATATGCGATGCAATCTATGTGGTGAACCCCATGGGGTTCAGTCAACGCGGTGTAACTGATGCAGTGCAATCTATGCGGTGCAATCTACGTGGTGCAAGTTATGCTGTGCACTCTATGCGATGCAATCTACGCGGTGCAATAGATGTGGTGCACACCATGTGCTTCAATCAGCGGTGTGCAACCGATGCAGTGCAATCTATGCGGTGCAATCTACGTGGTGCAAGTTATGCAGTGCACCCTATGCGATGCATTCTATGCGGTGCAATCTATGTGGTGCAGTCCACTCTGCTGAACTTGAAGTCGTCATCTCCACTGCTCGCGCAAACATCCCACCCACCCACCCGCAACTTGGTTTGCAAAACCTCTTAAGACCGACTACGACGACACCGACGACGACGACGACGACGACGACGACGACGACGACACCGACGACGTCTCCGACGACTTCGACGACGGCACCGACGCCGACGCCGACGACGACGAAGACGACGACGACAACGCCAACGAAGACGACGACGAGGGAGGAGGAAGGACGACGACGGCGATAACGACGACAACGACGACAACGACCAGGGAGGAGGGAGGACGGCGACGACGCGAACGACGAAGAAGGAGGAAGGACGGCGACGCCGACGACGACAGCGATGAGGGAGGAGGGAAGACGACGACGACAACGACGACGACGACGACGACGACGACGGCGACGAAATAGGAGGGATGACGACGAGACGCCAACGACGGACGACGACGACGAGGGAGGAGGAGGAAGGACGACCACGGCGACAGCGACGACGGAAACGACCACGACCCCAAAGAGGACGACGACGACGAACACGAGGGAAGACAGAGGACGACGTAGGCGACGACGACGACGACGCGGGAGGAGGGAGGACGGCGACGACGACGACGACGACGACGCAAGAGCGCGCGCGCACGCTTTTGTTGAAAATGCGTGTTACGAAACCTTGGGTTTTTGCATGGTTTTTGGACACACGATTTTGAAATCCTTTCGAAACCGATGGGTTTTGAAGGATTTCGGCGTACGCGCGCGACGACGCGCGCGTCTGCACTTCGTCTCAATTTTTTGCAGAAGATTCCCGCGACGGCACACGCGCAAGGGCTTTCGACAGATTTCGACATGCGCGCGCGACGCCCGTTTAATAAAATGTTGTGAAAATCTTGAATAACCTTTGGTTTTCTGAAGATTTCGCAAGAGCTCGCGCGGAAGCTTTTTTTTGCAAGCGAACCCCTGTGTTTTTGTATGTTTTTTGGAAACTCGATTGCGAAATCCTTCCGGCACCGAGGGTTTTTGAAGGATTTCGGCATGCGCGCGCGCGACGACGCGCGCGTGTGCACTTCGCCCTATTTTTTGCAAGGGATTCGTGCAAAAGTGTCATGTTAGAACAAAAAAATGCCCCCGCACAGTCTTTGGAACCTCAGGGGGGGGGAACCCGGTTTGGCTGGGATGATATGATTTCATATTTAGGATGGACGAGTGTGCAGAATATATATGAAATCAAACTGTCCCAAGGGGTACCGATAAGTCCGGGGGGGGGAGGGGGGTGGAATCTATTAATCTTTTGGAAAGGAGAATTTATTTTCACCCATGATTTGACACATCCCACGCTCTTGCAAACATCCCACCCACCCACCCGCAACTTGGTTGGCAAAACCTCTTAAGACCGACTACGACGACACCGACGACAACGACTACGACGACACCGACGACGTCTCCGACGACTTCCACGACGACAACGACGCCGACGCCGACGACGACGAAGACGACGACGACGACGCCAACGAAGAGGACGACGAAGGAGGAGGAAGGACGACAACGGCGACAACGGCGACAACGACGACAACGACGAGGGAGGAGGGAGGACGGCGAAGACGCGAACGACGAAGAAGGAGGAAGGACGGCGACGCCGACGACGACAACGATGAGGGAGGAGTGAAGACGACGACGACAATGACGACGACGACGACGGCGACGAAATAGGAGGGACAACGACGAGACGCCGACGATGGACGACGACGACGACGAGGGAGAAGGAGGAAGGACGACCACGGCGACAACGACGACGGAAACGACCACGACGCCAAAGAGGACGACGACGACAAACACGAGGAAAGACAGAGGACGACGTAGGCGACGACGACGACGACGACGCGGGAGGAGGGAGGACGACGACGACGACGACGACGACGCCGCAAGAGCGCGCGCGCACGCTTTTGTTGAAAATCCGTGTTGCGAAACCTTGGGTTTTTGTTAGGTTTTTTGGACGCGCGATGTTGAAATCCTTCCGAAACCGATGGGTTTTGAAGGATTTCGGCTTACGCGCGCGACGACGCGCGCGTCTGCACTTCGTCA